CCCATTTTATTTAGAAATTAATAATAATTCTGAGTGCTCTCTTTTTCTGTGCTCTGGAAGAGAGTGAAGCAGCTCTGAAATGAAACATTTACTACTGTGCGTGCCAGAACAAAACCAGATGGACCAAAAAAGTTTAGATGGATGAATCTGAAAAATTGGATGACCTTTATAATACCCTAAAAGTTATAAAAAATTAGAAGAGCAAAACTTCCATTTGCCAGCAAGATTCTCTCCAATTTACAAATTTCATATTGTGGATTCAGGCACAGAAGGAAGGCACACCATTCTGTGGGCAGCCAGACATCATCTCCCAGCCACCAGTGAGCAATCCACCAGATCTTACCTGTAAAATCTAGAAATTCTTCTGTCAGTCAACTGCTACGTCCTGCTCCAATGTAAAGAAGAAAGGTTAAGAGGCTCAAGTCATGGTCACATGACACCCTGAGATCCTCACACAGAACTATGGCAAAAGTTGGGTCCAATTCATTAGAACTCAACCAAATGAGACCAAGAACTGGCCTAATTCTCAGTTTGGTCAGCTTCATGCTGCTGCCCGCTCCAATTGAAACTACTCACCTCCCAGATTACCCATGATCAAAGTGGTGGAAGAAATTGCAGATTTATAGAATGTAAGTGGATCGGTGCAAATCCAGCACCAATTACAAAATCCATTTAAGGTATCCTTTGTGTCAAAGACGAATCTGGAGCATGTAACTGTGCATATGTTTGGGGCATCAAAACAATAGGGAAGATGTTTACTTCACAGTCTGAATAATTCCTCGCCATGTATAAAATGTACTATTGGGAATTAATAATATTATTTATAAATTAAGAATGCTGAGGTAGACATATGCAGGTTCATCGCATCCTGGCTCTGCTATGTGTGGGGCAATTTCTAGCCAATGTACTATGGGATTGTAGTCTTTCTGAGCTAGTGCATTTAGTTGCTTGAGTTGAACCTGCTAACCTATCTCTGCTCTTCCCAACCATAGTAAGTCCTCACCACACTGGCTGATTGTTGTGAGCGAGATTTTCGTGGAGCTGCAGGGCTTTTTTGGCTGCTGAGCAGGACATCCAAGAGGAAATCCGAAAAGTTGTAGTTTAGAACAAACAGCTCGAGAGGTTTTAACTCTACTGCAAGGGGTCCATCAGGGAGCTGGGTTTCAGGACATTCCAAAGAGATGTTTGAAAGCTCGAGAACATTTTGGTGCAGTAAAAACCCATCTAACATCTCTGAAGACCAAGTTTCCTGCTGAACATTGTTACAGATTTCACGAGCACTGGAGGTTTGTGTTGCAGCGCTTGGTGTTCTTGGCAGCATTTGGTGTGCATTTGGAAACAGAAACACTAGTGACTCCAGAAGCAGTTATAGAAATTCTTGGCCTGGAGCCAGATCGGGAGAAAGGATTTCATCTGGATGTAGAAGATTACCTCAGGAGTTTTAATTCTTGCTGGTGAATTGTCAAGGCTGTCTGTCAACAGTGTGACCGCTGGAGACTACTCCCGGCCCCTCCACATCTCCACTTTTATCAATGAGCTGGATTCTGGCTTCCGCCTTCTCAACCTGAAAAATGACTCCCTGAGGAAGCTCCTTGACGGCTTGAAGTATGATGTGAAGAAAGTGCAGGAGGTGGTCTATGATCTCTCCACCCGGGGCTTCAATAAGGAGACAGCAGCAGCTTGTGATGAAAAATAGGAGGCTCTTCCCACTCCTGGCCTTGCTGACCTCAGCACTTGCCAGGATGGGGTGAGTACAGAGTGCCTCTTACCGCAGTTAGGTTGCCCAGTTGCTAAGCACCTCGCTTTATTTTCTTAACCAGTTGTGTGGTGCAAGTATCAGAATTGAAAACTTTTTTGGGGGTAAAAATGAATAACCTTTCCATGGACAGAATTTTCTTTGTTGTTTCAGTGAATTTGCTCTGTAATTTGTTGCATTTCAGTTTTGTCAAAAGTGTAAATGTCAATCTCTTGGTAAAGTCCTTTTCTTGCTTACCCTGACTGGTGATGTTCTCATTAAATTTATTGCCTCATTTGAGATTGTTCCAGAAATGACACCTAATATTTTCTGTATCCAAGTTAGCCATCCATTCCCAGGTGTAGCCTGAATATAGTATAAAAACAGATTATTAAAAAGGATGGTTGGCAAACAAGGGAAATTTACTTTTCCTTCTTTAAGCCTTGTAAGTGAATCAGGTGTTGAATTTTTTGCCAAGGGAATTATATCCTGGATTCTTTCTTACTGCCATCAAAATGTAAAAGATTAAACTGCAAAGTCAAACTGAAAAAAAAAATGGAGCGAAACTTGAGGTAGTGTGTCTTTGTCCCCCTTCCATGAGAAATCATATTTTTCTGTTTTAAGCGACTGAGGTTTGGGGATATTTGTTGCTGGTACCAGTGTTTATATTAGACACTTTGCCTATAATGTATGAGCTCTAAATATGCAACTCAGGTCTTATTCCCCGTCTCACATGATTTAACAGAAAGAGTGCAGACCCACAGAAATAAGAAGTGTATGTAGGCTTTATATGAGAACCTAATGCCAAAGACAGGGGCCAGGGGACAGAGGTATAGCAAAGATAAGTAGCACATTATCCACAGAGCCAGATATCCAAGTCCAAGAAGAAGCAATTCCAAGCCCGAGGAAAAAAATTAAGTCTTAAGCCATGTAATACCAATATGATAGACACCAGGTATGTCTATGAAATACCACCAGTCTTTTCTGTTGTTTCAGGTGGCTCTTATCCTTACCAAATACACAGACAGGAACTTTTTCTTTCACTCTATGCTATTCTAGAAAGCACCACAGAACTCTGGCAACAAAGAATATCCCCAAATCTTTTCAATTTAAAATCCACTGAAATCCAGATAACTCAAACCATCTATTTTATTAATTTAATTCTATGATTCTTTAAAAAATATGCAGAAGCCAAGCATAGTGGAATGAGCCTGTGCTCCCAAGAGACAGAGACAGGATCACGATTCAAGGCCAGCCCCAGCAAAGTTAGTGTAAGACCTTACCTGTAAAAAACAAATGAACTGGAGGCCTAGCTCAAATGATAGGGCAAAAGCAAGACCTTGTGTTCAATACCTAGTACCACTAAATAAATATCATCCAGACAAGAGTCATTAATAATATCCTCAGACTTCATCTCCACTCCAAGATAATTGACCCAGATACCAATTGCCAGCCCCAAACCATTTAATTCATCCTTGCCCCTACTGTGAACAGATATCCACACATTAGCAATGGAGTCGCAGAATCATATTTTAAATCTTAAAGCACTCTTGGATACTAACACATATACATACACACACTCAAAAACTGGACAAAAAAACAGCAGTAAAATTAAAAGAAGTTTTTAATCCATAGCTTTGGGGCTTTTATTTAAGGTACTTCTATACCATGTATAAATCTACAAAGCACTGGAGACTGTATATTAATACAAACATATCAAAAACTATTCCACCAATAATTAAATCAAAATGCAAGCTGCTGGAATCCCTTGGGTTTTTTTTATTAATAGCAAGATGTTATCATTTGCTCACATTCTTCTGCTTATTAGGAAATTTGGACTCTAATTTTGGATGCTAAGTCAAAAGAACTAATTAAATGATAAATGTCACTTTTTCTCCCAACTTACATAATCACAATTTGAATAACACATTCTTCTATTGTGCCAAACCAAGAGAGAAAATATTATTCCTTTGGTCTTTAGAGGATAAAAGAGACTCATAGAAAGTGATGTATTTGTAAATAAATGGAAATTTTTTATATTACTAGGATTTTTCAGTTTTGGTTTTTTACAAGGGATATTTTAAAGGCATTTGTGATCCTTTGGGCACATCACAAACTTTAATTCTCTATCTTGGTAATATCCTAAATGGCTTTAAATTTATCACTCCCCATTTATAAAGAGAAAAATTTCCTTGCATCAAGTTTGTCCTATACAAGTAAGACAATGGTAAAACCTGGTCTGTATTCTCAACATTTTTTTTCATTTTTAAAGTTGTATTTCAATCAGAGTTCAACAGTCCCCTCTTTCTGACCCACAAAGGAAGGAGGGAAGGAAGGAAAAAAGGAAGAAAGGGAGGGAGGGAGAAAGAAAAAATATCAACAAATCCAGATACCAAGAAAAACTGGCAAGGTTTAACAACTCAAAATATAAACTAAATAATACTTCTCTGTCTATCTTTATAATATTCATATATCCTTATATCATCCTTCAAATTCTCAGTCCCTTTAAAAACACAGCTAATATCTCGGGAATGGGCAAACTACATCAACTCACTGTTAACTAGCATTTTGGGGTAATGAATTATTAATAAGAATAGCTAATTATTTTTGAGAATTGATTATATGCAGGCATTATTCTAAGTATTCATTGCTTTACCTAATGCCCCAATGAAATAGACATTGTGCCTAATACCTTCATTCTACAAATGGGGAACTGTAGCATAAAGACATCATTTACCTCACCCCATGGCAGCCTAGGACACACACCAGGAATGTCAGGTCCTGAAGTTTACCATGTTCTATACTTTTAATTCAGTATTCTGTCTAACAAAGAGTTGTTCCATGCAATTCAACACTTTTCAGACTTGCAAAATATTACAGTATACCTAATTTCACTTTGCTTTAGTCAGTTGGAAGAACATCAGTACTTTGTGGGATTCCAGCGTTCATAATGATAACACAGAAATAATAATAAACCCTAAGAGACAGGGGAAATGGGGCAAGAAAGAGTAATAGAGAGAGTGAATTTGATCAAAGTACATTATATACATATATGGAAATATCACAATGAAACCCCTTTGTGCAATTAATATACACTAATAAAAACATTTTTAAAATTAACAAAAAACCTAAAAGGCAAGATGGCAAGAAGAAGATACTGTAAAAGAAACACATCCCTTTGAGTTTCTCTCCCAACAAACAATGTGTCCTGTTTCCTGGAGACTGGACACAACAGAAATGAAGACTGAGGTTGAGTATAGCTCGTATGTTGTCCTATTTCTCAGAAAATGAAAAAGAACACAGCAAAGTCCAGTGTAAGCAGAGTGCACACGTGCCCACGCTACACATTTCTGACCTTAACTCATCCTTCTACGACCCAGGTGCTTAGGCTCCTGAGTTCATGTAAGGCTCTGGGAAATGCCTCTCTGAGCTCAGGGTGGACACCTAACCTAATCAATGGCAAACGAATAATATATTGGTCACATATGGATTTCTTTTTGACATATGGTAAAACAAGAAAGTCTGAAGCTGCAATTTGATGCATTTGTTCACAATTCTACACCCGTAGTGCCATACCCAGAGCAAGATATAGAGCATTTCCCATACTCTATTACTTTCAATTTTTAAAAATTTTGAGACAGGGTCTCACTACGTCATCCAGGCTGGCCTCAAACTCATGATCATCCTGCCTCTGCCTCCCAAGTGCTGGGATTACAGGTGAGTGACACCATGCCCAGCCTTACTTAAACCTTTTCTAAGCCAGGCATGGAGAAGCATGCCCATAACCCCACAACTCAGGATTCAGAGGCAGGATAAGCTCAAGTTTGAGGTCAGCTTGGGCTGACTAGTGAGACACTGTTTCAAAAATATTAAAAATAATAAAATTTTATCTAAAGAAAATGCTATGATCCGAATAGTTCCCCTAAAACTTGTATGTTGAAATTTAATAATCAATGTAATTGTATGAAGAGGTGGAGCCTAACAGGTGATGAGTAACTGGGCCAAGCCCTCATGAATGAAACTGGACCCTTAGATAAGGACTAGAGGGAGTGGGTTCATCCCTTTCCATCCCTTCCACCATGCAAGGACATAGCATCTGCCCCTTCAGTTATGTGAGGATGCATCAAGAAGGCTCTTACTAGATGTCAAATGCCAGCACCTTGATCTTAGACTGCTCAGCATCCAGAATTATGAGGAAAAAACCTCCTACTCTTTAGAAATTAACTAGTCTCAGGTATTTTGTTTTAGCAATATGAATGGACTAACACAGAAAGTTAAATGGCAGAAAAGGTATCTTACTTTTAACAGTGAATTATAGAGACTACTAGTGGAGGTAAAGGAAGTGGTTAAAGATAGTAGGGTCTAAGGATTGAAAGTGCAGGTCTGCAAATCAGAAAGACCTGCCACCCACTATATTTGTCATTTGGCAAGGCATACCTCCCTAGCCAAAGTTCCTTCACTTGCATTGTAAGAATTATGTCACAGTTGTCAGTAAGTCTCATGGGGATTAAATGAATTAGTGCATGTTAAAGCTCACAAAGTGGGAGCCTCAACTTATGTGGGAGAACACATAATAAGTAAAAACTAAACAAATGACAGGCTAAAAATTAATCATTATAATATTCAGCTGACACGCAGTCAGTTGAACCAAAACATCTTCCTTGTTTTTGGCTGTTATACTTTTCCTGTGATAATGCCTTCAAGGGTAGAGAGATAATATTTTCAACACCATGATTTTGATTTAGCTATTGAAGGAAACTGTACTTGATTTAAACTACTAAATCAGTATCAAATCTTATTTTAAAAGCAACTGGTAAGAAGGCAAAGAGAGAATAAACTTATACCATCTTTGGTCAAACAAGCTGCTTTAATCAGAATGACTGTTCTGCAATAATCAAGCTATTTATTTTTCAGAGCTTCCCATTTTTTGAAGCCTAAAATGTTTTAATTTTATCCATCAAGGAATTAATATGTTCTACTAAACAAATCAGAGCTGGAGAACCAAATTAACACCTTTCAAGAGAGATATATCAGCACAAGAGTCTATAGAATGCTTTACGACCCTTCCACTTAACTAAATGGGTAAATTCTAAGCATGAAAACACCCAGCACTGCTTGATTTCTCTCAGACACTTGAAAAATGTACATTCTGATGAAGTGTAAGTTCTCAGTAGAGAAATGAAACTCCCCTCCCAGGTACAAAATTCTTCTTCCAAACCCCTCTTTAACTGCAAAACTAAACTAAAATTCTCTTCATTGATTGGCACTTAGATCAGTTAGAAAGAGGGTTGTGAAAATGAGTTAAGAGGTGATGTAGGCCATTTTGGTGGCTGGGCGAGGAGGTGATTCCACACTGCGGAGAGCGTGGCGGTAGGGGTGGCAGTGGCAGCGTTGGGGCGCTGGGGTTTGAATCACCGAGGGGGAGGCGGTGGAGGGAGAGGTGGCGGTGGCCTTGGCAGTGGAGGGAGAGATGGCGGAGGAGGGGGTACGAGTCACCTGCGGGCGGTGCAGCGAATCAAGCGGGAGTTCAGGGAGGTGCTGAAGAGCGAGGACACGAGCAAAAATCAAATTAAAGTAGATCTTGTAGAATTTTACAGAATTAAGAGGACCATATGAAGGAGGAAGATAGCAATTAGAGATAAAAATACCAGAAACATATCCATCTAACCCCCCTAAGGTCCGGGTTATCACTAAAATATGGCATCCTAATATTGGTTCTGTCACAGGAGCTGTTTGTTTGGGTATCCTGAAAGATCAATGGGCGGCAGCAATGACTCTGCGCCCTGTGTTGTTGTCATTGCAAGCACTGCTGGCAGCTGCAGAACCGGATGATCCACGAGATGCAGCAGTGGCAAATCAGCACAAACAAAATCCTGAAATGTTCAAACAGACAGCTCGACTTTGGGCACATGTGTATGCTGGAGCACCAGTTTCTAGTCCAGAATACACCAAAAAAATAGAAAACCTATGTGCTACGGGCTTTGATAGGAATGCAGTAATAGTGGCCTTGTCTTCAAAATCATGGGATGTAGAGACTGCAACAGAATTGCTTCCGAGTAACTGAGTGTAGAGCGCTGCTGACAGTCAAGTCTGCCTCTTGAGGAGCACCACTGTTATTTCTAGGATTCTGCATAAATTTCTTTTAAACTGGCATTCTTGCCTAATGATGTTATCTAGGCACCATTGGAGACTGAAGAAAAAAATCCCTGCTCTGTAAATAAAGCTAATTAAACGTCTGTGTAAATTTTAAAAAAGGGGAAATACTTTAATTTTTTTTCTTAATAGTGTAAAAATTCTTTGAGCTAAGCTAAAACCATGGGAAAATGCATGCTACTTTAATGTTTAGCAGTGTAAGAAGACTAGCAAGAGTTTGCTTCAGGATTTTGTTGAATAATTAAGATAATATTTTGAGTGTGTCAGGGCCATTCAAATTGTTGGTGTTGCATCACAGCTACCTTAACTGTTTTTAACATGGATCCTCTGTGCCTGTGAATTTACTTGCATGCTTGTATTTGACTTCTTAGGAGGGTAGTTGAAAAGACCACCATTTTAAGTATTAGAAAATTCGTAAATATGAAATTTATTCAGAATTGAAGATGGTGACCTATTCAGAACCTTTAGTCCCTGTCAACAGATTGGGACCCTGTATCTTTTTCCCAGTACCATACACAGCTAATGTTCTAATGGTAAATTGTTCTGTATTTGGTGGGGAAATGAGCTAGCAAATATGGACAGAAAAAAATGGACAGTATCCCTTGCTCCATTTTTAAGTCATAAGTTTAGAATGTTTTGTCATGGTTCTTCACATACTTAAAGTTTTCCTGTGTATGTAAGTAATAATGTAAAAATGGAGCCGTCAATTTGATTTCTCTTGCAAACATAGTAAATACTTGATGTTGCAATATTCCCAGATTCAGTGATAGGACCCAACTAGTTTTTCAGTGACTTCAACATTGATTTTAAACCGATGAAATTTTTGAGAGCTTGGAAGGATGCAATCAATTGTTTCCAGTTATTTTAGCCTAACTTGGGGCTTTATAGAGAGATAGCTTTATGAAATACTTTGAAAGTCACTCCTGTTTGCACTTCCCTCTATTGATACACAAATGCTGAGTTGGTGTTTTACTGTACATACTTCAGATGCATATAGGAATAAAAGTGTGTTATAAATCTAGCTTTCTTTATGATGTTTCTGATAATACGAGAATTGAAACTTTACCTTGTACATAGTCGGACTTTATTCGTATTGTTACATTTCATTTTTAGTTCAAAAACTTGAAAATCATTAGTTTTGCAACCTCCAACACATAATTTGACCATTTTATGAAGGTTGAAGTGGATTTCTGCAGGCAGTTTGATATATCGAAATAAAATTCTTACTAATTTTTCAGGACCAATGCAAAATAAAAAGAAATGTAATGGAATCAGTCTGAATTAAAGTAAGGTTGTATATTGAAAGTCATAAAACAATTGCTTTCTTCAAGTGTTATTTATCTTAAATTATAATCATTAAGTGTTTGGAAAATAATTTTTGAACCTACTAAGTCAGCATAACTTCATTTGACTTTTCAACAATCTTGATATACTACAAGCAATAAAAGAACCATTATTAAATATAAAAAAAAGAGGTGATATAAATGCACACCAGACTTCCTTCCAGCTTCCCATTACTGAACGATCATGTCCTAGGACTGCAGGCCTCTCAGGTGTGCAACAGATTGGCTTTTCCATACACTTAGTTGAAGGGTGCACATAGCCCAAAACCTCAGCCTTACATCCACCATGACAAAGCATGTAGACTTACTTTTTCTCACATTCCTACTCCCTTTCTGGATTTGAAGGTGTTTGGGTGTTTTGGTTTGGTTTGGTGTTTGGTACTGGGGGGTGAACTCAGGGCCTCATGCTTCCTAGGCATGTGCCCTATCACTTGATCCATGCCTCCAGCCTTTGAAGGTGTTTGGGGAGATGAGTAAAGAAAATTTCTTTTTGTTCACCGAAACATTTTCATTTCCAATATCCTCTTTAGCCAAACTTGAAGGACTAAAAAGTACAAGAGTGAGACAGCCTAGAAATGCCTTATATTTGATACATAGAGCAAAAGCTGATTCACGCTTCCAGAAGTAATTATTGGATAGTATTGATATACAGTGGGAAGATCCTCAACAGTCCCATGAACACCAAGACTCCTCAGGTCACTTCTTTCCCTTGATATAGAGATGTCCCAAGTGGTGCATTTCTGTTCTCTGGCTCCTGGTGCATTTGTCTGGGTGGGGACTTCAGAGAGTACCTCTGTCTTAAAGGGGAAGGAGGAAAAAAGAAAAGGAGGGATTGTTATTATTATTATTATTATTATTATTATTATTATTATTATACCAGATTCGTAGACTTGGCCCAGAAGCTAACTATGGAGTTACTGATTTTTTCTGATATGAGAGGAGGAGCAAGAACTTGTGCTGACAATTGGAAAACTAATACAATAATTATTTAGAAAGATGGCAAAATCATACTCAGGAAATAAAAGATGAAGGGCAGGTCAGGCCAAGGCTCAGAACCTGGAGCAAGATTCTAGAAGGCTGGGCTAGAGAACAAGGCAGAGAAGAATGATGACAAGCATGAGATTTCCAGGCCAACGCTGCAAAGAACTGATGGCTGAGCTTGGCTACTGAGGTCAGAAAATCTAAGGGATTGAGTAACATCTGAAGCATCATCTTCAAAAGGTGGTACATCCAGTACAGCATCTGAAGTCAGAGACCCCTGCAAGCCAAAGATCCAGAAACCTCATGTGCTTAGTACTTTCTTGAGCACATAACAAGCCCAACCAGTGGGCACTCTTGTGATAGTGATGATGTTGTATTTTAATATAACTCTGATATTCAAAGACTTCAAATCACCATTCTTGTTAATCCTTCCATACTGCCTGTATGTCAGATACCTAATCAACAAAAACAGGAATTCCACTCTGATGGAATCAGAATTCATTAACTTTAAAAGCATTACATTACAGTGAACCTGTGGATGTACCAGCACAAAAATTAGTCAAGATCTATAATAAACAGTATTTTCTAGCAATATTATAGAATACATTGTCACAAAGAAAATAAGGTAATAAAATGGTAAAAAATTATCTCTTCCATTAAATAGCTATGCAGAAAAATGCTACAAGGAAGAAAAACATTCTAGTACCAAGATCTATCATTAGCTTAACAGTTTTCATGGTACATTATATTTTTTATTTCATCTAAAACAACCCAATCATGAATATATCATGTATTATTTACAAATGAGAAACATATGCTTAGGCAAATCAAGTATCTTGCTTGTGATTACTCTCTCAGAGTAGGAACTGGAACTTAAACACGCATTTTCCTCAGAAGCATGCTTCCCCAGTCTCTGGCCTATGGTGACTCCAGCAGGTATCAAGCCAGGTTTTCATGTCTAACATTGATATTCCAGAAAACTATATTGATGCAAACTTTGGCTATCTCTTCCTACAAAAGAAATAAACCAAACAAAACACACAAGTCTGAAAATGGTTTCACCTAGATCTCAATGTACACTGAAATAACAAACACAAAATTTTGTACTGTACAAGGATTCCATAAAAGAAGAGGAAAAATCCTTTATCACTCTTGCAAATAAAATAGAACTCATAGACATGAACCAAAGTAATAGAAAACATGGAACTTTGCCCACTGTTGTACTCTGGTTGCTGCTCAGGTTTAAATCGTGAGTAACAACAGCCAAAGATCTACGGGTCTGCCCTATGTCATATCACATAAAATCAGGTGTTGTTATATTCATATATGCAAATGAATGTCTATATAAGTCTCAGCTCATTTCTTTTGCTGTAAGTGCATACCACAGACAGAGCAATTTCTAAGGATTAGGGGCATATTTAGCTCATGGTTCTGTAGGCTGGTAAGCCCAAAAGTAAAGAGCTCTTTGCTACATGACAACACGTCAGAAGGTATCACACAGAGAATGCAAGCATGCCAGCTCACAACTCTCTTTCTGTTCTTATAATGCCCCTAACTTCCATCATGGGGTCTCACCCTCATGACCTCATCTAATCCTAATCACCTCCCAAAGACCTCACTTCTAAATACATTAGCATACAAATTTGAGGATCAAGTTTCCAACACATGAATTCCAGTGACACACTGAAACCACAGCAGTAGTGTGTATGTAGTTTTAAATTTTTCTTCAGGACTGTAAATATATTTGTAAATATGCTTATAATTAAATACTTCACCATGCCACTACTAATAGAATATTGTTTGGATTTTATTTCTTAAAACTAAACTGTTTCATGTATCCTTTCCTCCTTTCTTTGCCTCTTTATCACACATTTGCTTTAGCTGTGTGGTAGTTTGAAATAATTAGAATGAAAGAATGTGAAGAAATACACAGGCATCCCCCCTACCTAGGGCTAGTCCACAAAAGGAAACAAAATTCATGTGAGGTGCACAGAAAGAGCCTAAACAGCCAGCTTATAAGCCTTTTCAGATACACCTCATCTCAGAAGCAAAGCCACCAAAAGAACCATTCATTCAATGACCATTTATTGAATGACATCGTGTGATTGACACCAGGCTAGTTTCTGAGGACACAGTGCCTGACTACTAGAAGATCAGGGGCTGGTCAGGAGAGAGACATGCAAACCATCAACTGCAGAACCATTCCATCAGCACGCACTAGATGTGGTGGCTATGGAAATATATTCACTGTCCAATAAAAGGACTCATGTATTAACGTTTACCACATATAAATATTTGCTGACCTAAAGTACAGATGACAAAGAGTCATACTGAGATCTAATAAAATGTATTTTTAATTTCAGTTAATCCATAAACTATACCCAGTTATCTCTGGTATTGAATCCTAGTAAGCCCCTACTTATCAAATCCTTATCAGTTCCAAGTTGCAGATCACTATTGTCCTGTGCCCTATAATTTTTTTATCTCATTTTCTACCTTCAGTTTCCAAACCCACATGGGCATGTCCCCCACCTTCCAGTTTGGGGTGAAGGTCATCACCTGGTCATTCATATTGCTGTGTTCTCGGTGTAATAGAGACATATAGCCAATGTGTCCTTAATTGTGTTATTTTGTTGTGCTCTGTTGCTATCGCATCTCCTGAATTTTCTTCAGCCAAGTGCATTTAATTTCTTCTATTTCATGTAAACCCATTGCCAATATCTTCCTCCCCACAGAGCCCATATTCTGTGGGATAAATACTAGGTTTTCCTTGTACACTGAAAACAGAGAGTCACTCAGTGATAGTTTCTTAAAAGTGAAGTCATTCTTTCCTGGAAAGCCTAAGTGGACATTGT